AAAAAAAAAAAAAAAAAAAAAAGCATGTGGGCTCAATCAGAAGTTATGTACTCCAAGTTTAGATTTCAAATATAGTCTAAACCCCTGAAAATAGGGGTTGGGGTAGGGTCGTAAAAGCCACAAATCAGCCTTCGGCACAGGTCTATGTTGTCTCTGGGCCGGGGTCAAGGGTCGCATTTAGCAGCTCCCTGAACACACGCCCCAACGTGGTGGAAGCCAGCTCTCGAGAGGGCAGGCACACGTCACCCGGGATAAAGAACTCTGAATGCCATCACCCCATCCTCACCGCAACCCCTCGAATCAAAAGCTATAAACACACACAAGTCAGAGGATCTAAAACCAGTAGAAGAAAAGAATTAGACAAAGGTTAACCGTTAAAAAGCTGCGTAGGAGAAACACACACTCGACTGCTGTATCAGAAAGTGCCGTGGGAGGAAGAGCTATGTGCTGGTAAACATGTCCGCGCTCAGACCTTGACATGCAGAAAAGAGAGCGCGCCGAGTCCCACCTGAGATTAGAGAGGACTGGTTTTTAGTGTAACACACTTCGTTTGAAAATGTCACTGTCCTCTTCTCGCCCAATTGCTCCGAGAACGTCCCTCTGTCACTCCCTTCCGGGCTGGTCTAGTCCATCTCCATTGACATGAGCCGGCGGCGCTCCCGCCTGGTCTCTTGAACCTCCTTCTTACAACACCAGTGGGAGCTGCAGTACCCGATGAGGCAGGACAGCAGCCCGATGACAGTGGACAGACCGACGCCAATCAGCAGCGGGTACTTGAAGGCATTCAGCACTAGGACAAGAGAGCAAAGGAGTTGTTAGTGCTGCTGGGAAGGCTGCCTGGGGGGCCAGCCCTTCCTTCCCGACTGGAGAGGGGTGGGGTGTCCCTGTGGGCTCCAATCTCATGTAAGCAGCGTCGGGCACCTAGCACAGTGCTAGGGACAGGAGCAGCTCAGCCACACCTGTCGGAAAATGAGCAAGTGTCTCCCCACCCAGTTCTGTGGGGGGAAAGAGAAACAGAAAGAGATTTCACTAGATGCCTTTGAATGTCAACTTGCTTTTTAGGGTTTTGGCAGGAGATTGATTTTTAAAAGTCAGTATAAGGGCACCGCATATTCAGTAGCAGATGCACCCTTTAAAAAACGGCATAAATCAATTCTATGCATCAAATAACTGAAGTGTACTAAGGGAGCTATTTTAAGTAACACTATAGTAAATTATCTAGCAAAGTGAATAATCACTCCCTTCCTTGTTTGGTAAATCTGGGCTTTCATATGGAGTTACTTCAAGCAAGGAATTTCTAAGAAGCAAATATAGTATAGATGACTTAAGTTTCAGAAATGTACAAATACCATTTAGGTTCCAACCCCGAAAGCCTCCTTTCCTCCTCCGTGAGTATTACTGCTCCTCGGGTGGATGCTGCCACTGCACTGGGTGTCTTATATTAATTTTCCTAACAGCCTCAGGAGAGATTATTATCCCATTTTACAACAGAGGAAAGGCTAAGTGAGGTGGAAAGACCTGGGTTCCATTTTCCATCTCCTCCAAGCTGACTTAACACACTCAAAAGGCTTCTAATCTTGGGAGCACCTGAACTTTCATTCTCTCCAGGGTGTTATTCGATGAATGTTTACCTTTTGAAGTTTTCTTATAAACTACAGAACAATCGTCTCTACTCTGCTTAGGGACCAAAGGCCTGGCCATCCAGTTTAGGCTGACCCTGGTGGTCAGTGCAGGCTACTGAGTCAGGGTGCTCACCCTCTCACCCTGGGGCCCATGACTCCAGGAGAAACCTCCCTTCTGCAAGAAGCAAAACCAACAGGAGGGCAATAGTGCAGGCAGGCAGGGTGCAGCCTAGCCTGGAGACCTGAAGCACCTCTCTCAACACTGTTGTCTGCCTCTTGTTGGCAGAATCCATGCCACCCTTGGGGCAGAGTAAAGTGGGTTTCTACAGAATATACAGAAGATGTAAAAGCTCAAAAATCTTTCCAATAAATCTGAAAAATCATTTCCAGATGCCAGGACACAGCAAAGGCTGCTTATGCTTTTTTGGATGCAGACTCAGGCCAGGTCCAGACATAACGCAGGACGTGCTGTGGCACATTTTTCCAGCCTGGAATCCTGGATTCTGTCGATGGCAGCATGGCACAGACAACATTCCCCAAACACTGAGAGAAAGATCTGTGTGTCATTCTTACCATCCATCTTCACAGTTATAAAGATGGGCTTGGAGTGGATCTCTGCCTCTTTCTGCCAGGAACCTGTCGGTGACTTCACCCATGGAGTCACGGAACAGTAGTAGTTGCCAAAGTCCTGGTCCTCGGAGCTGTGCACTTGCAGCAAGAACTCCAGCACGCTCACACGCTCCAGGCTGAGGTTGCTCTTCCAGTCCCTTTGGGCTGTGGTCACAATCCCTTTCCGGTCCAGGGAAGATAGGAGGACAGGATCCTTGTCCAGGCCAAAGGAGTGCACCGCAAACCAGGACACATCAAAAGCCATGTCATCTGCAGATTATAAACCAAAATCCAGGGTCAGTGCAGCAGGTGGAAGTGATATGTATGGAACCTTCCCATGCCCTATACCATTCTACCTGCCTTAGGTTTTGCTGAGCCTTGAGAAAACCCTATGATGGAGGTGCTATTATATTCCCCTCTACAGCAAGATGAAATACCTTGTTCATGGTTACTCAGCTTGCAGGTAACAGGGTGTGCAGCTTAATCTGGGGACTCCTGCTCCAGAGTCCTGCTTCTTTTTTTTTCTTTTCTTTTTTTTTTTTGAGAGATTTTCGCTATAGGGCATGTGTACTCGCTAGAGACAGATAAACAGAAAGCGAGAAATCATCACCCCCCCCCACCTCTCCAGGGGGATGGCCATGCTACAATCCCTTATTGTTCATTCTCCCCCAGGATCTTTGGCACTTACGCACACACTCCCAGTGTGAGTTTGAAGCCACCCAGTCTGGGACTTGAACTGTGGTTGGCCACGTGACATAACTGCTCTGCCACCTGCTAGCTCCCAGAGTTCAGCCTCTTAAGAGCTCCACTGCTACCACCCAGCCTACAAGGCACAGGGAGATTCAGGGCCCAACAATTCCCCCATGGAGAATACAGAACGTAAAGCTAGCAAGTGATGATGTCACACGCTTTGTCTCTCAAAGAAAACAGGGTCCTTTGGCATTTCAGGCCGAAGAACTCAAGACTAGGAGGACACAAAAGTCATAAGGAACAAAATGTACATAAAATGAATTGTACAGAATTTAGAGTTGTAAAGTGTTTAAATTTTATTATTCACTGTGGCTTCTTTTTCCTTCCCTTACAGAAGTACTTGAGTTCAAAACAAGAGGAAAAAAATGTCAAGCTGAGAAAATTGAACACAGTTTAACGGTCCCAGAGAGGAATGCTGCTGAATCGTAAAGTACTCTGCAAAATTAAGGTTCTCACAGCCTCAAATAAATTAATACGGGTATATGAGAGAGAGGACTCTGGCACAAGTGGTAATTCTCAAAGAATGTGAAGACAGCACACAACATAAGCCCCTGACCTCTTGTCTCGCCCAGTATCAACTCAACGTCGGCTGTGCCAGCTCCGAGACTCCTCCAGCAAGCCAGAGAGAACAGGAGCCATGAACACTGCTTTATCTTAAACCCCCCGAGAGGTCTTTTCCTACCAATGTTAATGACACAATTCTTGCTACACAAAAGGTAACATTTATTCGTTGAGTGAAAATACACTAATAACCTCGAAAAGCACCTTATCGTACAAATAAATAATTTTTGGATGCTCACATGTTAAAAAGGTACGGAAGTAAATCTAAAAGAAAGAATTTCTACAGAATTATCCAAATGATCATTCTTTTTTTCAGCTCTCTTTAAAAAGGCAGCATCTCCTTTTTCTCCCCCATCAATGCACTGTGGCCCAGTGTGTGTCATTTTCTCATTCCCAGAGTACAGGCTGTCTCTCTCCGAGAAGACCACCTCCCGAGGCAGAGGGAGTGCCCTAAACTTTCACCACCCTCCAAGTACTGGGGCACAGTGGGCACTGGCCCAAGGATGCAAACGAACTGCACTCAAGGAAAAGCCCAGCTTGAGCTGCAGTCACCTGCAGGTGTCGGGCAATTACTAAAGGCCGAAAGTCACAACCATGCTCCCTCTACTTGTGCCCAGACTACCCCAAATCCCCACTGTGCCCTGCAGTGTTGTAGCCAGGCTCCAGGGCCAGACTGCTGGAGTCAGAAACCCAGCATCTGCACTTATTGGTCATGTGACCTGAGTAAGTCACTTAAGTCCACTGCAACTGCTTTCTCATCTGTAAAATGAAAACAGCACCCATGGTTAACCTAATTATATTTATAAAAATGCTTCAAATAGTCCCTGGAACATAGTAAGTGCTCAATAAAAGTTGGCCACCATGAACATTATTGCCTCATTCAACACACACGGTCCTGCAAATAGATGTTCCTAACAAGGGCACTCCCACCTATAGCAGATGCTCCTGGTGCCCTGCCCAGACCACCTCATGCACCAAGTCCCCAGCTGCTACAGGTGCTGGCTGCTAAAGCTCTCACCCTTCTCCCAAGAACTGGCCTTAGTTGACAGAAACTACCTCCTGCAGATGCCTCCAGGAGGTCTTGAAACACCCTTCCTCCCTGGCCATCATCTATGGACAATGACTCACTAGTGAGGGGATATTGAAGTCTAGCACCTTTGCCTCAAGGTGAGCCATACTCTGGGCACAACCCACACTCCTGAGCTCCCTGTGGGGTGAGATTTGTTTTGAATTTACATCTGCCCTGTCTTCTTCCCAAGCTCTTTCTTGATTCCCTCACTCCCTCATAGTGTTATCCTACACTCCCTCAATTAACCCTCACGTTGTCTCAGGCTTTCTAGAGAGCATGACCTAACACGCCACCTCCAAAGGGCCAGATCTGCTGCCCAATCCCCACCTTGGCACAGGAGTGCTTTGGTTCTCAGCCCATGTATGCAACATGTTCTTTTTCAAAGAGAATTCCCTTCTAGCCCATAGGATGCATGAGAAAAAACTAAATTACAACTTGTGTTTAATTATTCAGAATCTTCCACCCACACAGGCCAAGTGTGCAAAGTTCTGGAAAATTGTGATCTGCAAGATTATGGCTTCCTATGGCTTTTGCAATTACACTGGGGGAAAAGATTTCTATATTAAGGTCATAACTAGTGACCCATTAATTTACTGAGAAAAAGCATTTAAAGGATTTATTTTTGTAAATATAATAAGTGAGGCTTAAGGATAAAAATGGTATTGCAAGGTCCTAACTATCAAAAAGGATTTTTCTTCCATTTTCCTGGCAGTCTCTCCTTTTACATTCTCTTTCACTTGGATCCTACTTTGTGTCCTCAGTCTTCCACATCTCAGGTGTAGGCATGACAGCTCATTCCAGATCTAGATTCTTCATTCCTTTACCGTGTGAATAGAGCTAACAAACTATATTATTTTGAGGGCTTTTTTCTTTTCTTTTTCTTAACACCATTCACAAACACTTCTTCCTGCCTTTAAAAGTCAACCAGGGTCAGTTTTCCTAAGAAAGTCAATTTATTAGTCAGTCAACTTGTCTAGGAGTCCATAAATTTTAGCCTGCAGGCCAAATCCAGCCCACCACCTGCTTTTGTAAATAAAAGTTTCACAGGAATGCAGTCCTGCCCATTTGTTTACATTATTACTATGGCTGTTTTCATGTTACAATTGCAGAATTGAGTAGTTGCCGTGGAGATCATCTGGCCCATAAAGCCAAAAGCAATTCCCACTGGAGTCCTTTACAGAAAATATTTGCTGACCCTCAACTATTCTCCACATGAACCCTCAACTGGAAATACTGTAAGACCAGACATCCACCTCAATGGTGCTAGCCACCCATGCCTCTGCTCCATTACCAGAGATGCCCAGATCCCTGCCCAATGGGCTCACTTTGGTTTCACTATAGGCTATTTTCTTTGTGTTAGAATGTGCCCCTTTACAGAATGAAAACCTGCTTCTAGTTTCCTCCCGAGGGTCATACTTCCTGTTGTCTCTGCACTGGAACTTACAAACCCTGGGCAATTTGTTCTTTTCAAGATGCAAATTTGCAGAAGCCATGGTTCTACTTGTGATAGGGTGAGAGGCACAAAGAATGTCTAGATTCAAATTATACAAAGGAAAGAAATATTGGGTTGTCAGAAAAGCCATGACATATTTTTTCTGTTTTTGACTGAATAATATGTCATGACTTTTCCAATGAACCAATAGTAAAGATTAGAGCTGAAATAAATGAAATAGAGAAAAGAACTACACACACATAAAAATCAATGAAATGAAATGCTGATTTTTTGGGAAGATAAACAAAATAAATAAACTATCAGCTAGACTAATTAAGAAAAACACAGGGACCAGCAGATGGTGTAATGGTTACGTCACTGGACTGCCATGTAGTCAACTGTGGTTCAAGATCTGGACCCGGTGGCTTAAAACTCATGCTGGGCACATGTACATTTGCATGCCCAAAATCCTGAGGGGAGAATATAGAAGGGATTGCAGCATGGCCACTCCTGGGTGATTTCTTGCTTTCTTGTCTCTCTGGTGAGAGCATGCATCCTACAGCAAAACATCTCTCTCAAAAAAAAAAAGAAAGGAAAACACAGAAAGGAATCAGATACATAAAATTAGTATGAATCTGGTAATACTATAATGGTTATATCAGAAATAAAAAAAAATATGAGAAAATACTATGAGCAATGATATGCCAACAAACTAGAAAACTTAAATGAGATGGACAGATTTCTGGACATGTACAAGTTACCTAGGATGAATCAGGATGAAATAGAAAGCCAGACTAGACCAATAACAAGTGATGAGATTGAATTAGTGATAAAATAGTCTCCCAACAAAGAAAAGCCTAGGTCCAGATGGCTTCACTTCGGAATTCTACAAAACTTTTAAAGAAGAGCTTATTCTAATTCTTCTAAAACTGTTAAAGATTCGAAATGAAGGAATCCTCCCAACTCATTTTATGAAGCCTGCATTACCTTGATACCAAAACCAGACAAGGACATAACAAAAAGAGAAAGCTGTAGACCAATATCCCTGATGAATACTGACGTAAAAATTTTCAACAAGGTATTAGCCAACTGAATCCAACAGCACATTAAGAAGATTATACACATGACCAGGCAGGTTTTATCCCAGAAATGTAAGGAGGTTCAACATATGCAAAACAATAAATGTAATACGTCACATTAACAGAAAGATAAAGATCACATGATCATATCTATAGATACACTTGATTAAATATAACACCCCTTCATGATCAAGACCCTCAGTAAAACAGGGGTAGAAGAGACACTCTTCAATACAATAAAAACCATATACAGCAGACCCATTGTGAACATCACATTGAATGGTGAAAATCTGAAAGCCTTCCCACTAAAAACTGGGACAAGACAAGGCTGCCTATCTTCTCCACTCCTTTTAACATAGTGCTGGAAGTTCAAGCCAAAGGAATCAGACAAGAGAGCAAAATAAAAGGCATTCAGATAGGAAAACAAGAAGTTAAACTGTCCCTATTTGTAGATGATATGATTATATACATAAAAAAATTCAAAGGAATCCATGAAGAAACTCCTAGAAGTAACAGGTAAATTAATTAAAGTAGCAGGATACAAAGTCAATGTACAAAAAATCTACAGCATTTTTGTACATCAATAATGAACAGACTGAAATAGAAGTGAAGTAATCCCATTTACTGGGATTACTGTGAAACAGATAAGGTACGTAGGAATAAAGCTAACAAAAGAAGTTAAAGACCTCTACGAGGAAAATGATGAAAAACTGAAAAAAGAAACTGAGTATGATATAAAGAAATGGAAGGGCATCCTGTGTTCCTGGATTAGAACAATCAATATAATCAAATGTCAGTTCTACACAAATTTATTTACAAATCCAATGTGATTCTGATCCAGTTATCTATAATGTTCTTCACAGAAATAGAAAAACACCATTATAAAATTTGTCTACAATTATAAAAGACCAACCATCACCAAGACAGTATTGTGGCAAAAAAATTAAATAAAAGGCATCTCGCCACCAAATTTTAAAAGACATTACAAAACAGTGATAATCAATATGACACAAAAGTAGACACACAGATCAATGGAACAGAATAGAGAATCCAGAAATAAACCCCAAATCATACAGATAACTCATCTCTGACAAAGGGTACAAGACAGTGCAGTGGACAAAAGAAAGTCTTTTCAGCAAATGGTGCTAAAAGAACTGGATATCTACCCACAGAAAAAAGGAACTGGACCCTTCCACTCACCATTAACAAGAATAAACTCAAAATGGATCAAAGACTTAACAATAAATCTTCAAACTACAAAACTACTAGTAGAAAATGTAGGGGAATCTTTTAAAGATATTGCAAAAGGCACAGATATCTTAAATAAGACCCCTAAAGCACAGGCAATAGTCCCCAAAATAGACAAATGGGATTATATCAGGCTAAAAACTTTCCTCACAGCAAAGAAAACAGTAATTAGAGTGAAAAAACAACCCTCAGAATGGGAGAAAATTTTTGCAAGTTATTTTTATTTTTTTGAGAGGTTTTTGCTATAGGGCGTGTGTGCTCACCAGAGAGACAGAGAGAGACAGAGAGACAGAAAGCGAGAAATCACCCACCCGGAGGGGATGGTCACACCGCAATCCCTTCTCCTCCATTCTCCGCTCGGGATCTTGGGCACACACGCACTCACACCCGGCGTGAGTTTAAGCCACAGGGTCCAGGACCCAAACCATGGTCAACCATGTGGGAGTCCAGCGACATAGCCATTACGCCAACTGCTGGTCCCTTGCAAGTTATTCTTTAGACAAAGGATTGATATCTAGAACATATAGGGAACTCAAAAAGGTCACCCATAAAAAAAAATGAATAATCCAATTATAAAGTAGGCAAATGAACTGAAAAGACAACTCTCCAAGGAAGACTTAGGAATGGCCAAGAGGCATATAAAAAAATATTCAAAAGTCTCTCATCATAAGGGAAATGCAAATTAGAACCACAGTGAAATACCATTTAACCCCAGTAAGAATGGTTAGTATCAAAAAAATAAAGAATGACAAGTGCTGGTGAGACTGTGGTGAAAAGGAAGCCATCCTCTGCTGTTGGTGGAAACAAATTAGTTCAATCTCTGTGTAAAACAATATGGAGGTTTCTCAAAAAACCTACGAATAGAATTTTCATGACCCAGTAACCCCATTCCTCGGTATTCACCCAAAGAATAGAAAAACACTCAATCAGAAAGACATTTATACATCATGTTTACTGCAGCATTATTCACAATTGCTAAAACATGGAACCAACCTAAATGTCCAAAAACTTAGGACTGGGTCAAAAACTGTGGCACATATATACTATGGACTATAAAGAAACAATAAGACTCTATCGTTTGACTCAAAATGGATGGATGTAGAAGACCTAATATTGAGTGAAGTGAGCTGGACTTTGAAACCTACACACTGTGTATCTCCACTTATTTTGCAATAAAGGTCTGGAAAAAAAGGAAAACAAGAAAAAAAAAGTCTTCAATAAAGTTATAGCATTTCTTTTACATGTCATATAAATTCCAATTCAAAAAATTCAAAAGAAATCAATTCTAGAGTATTGCCAGATGTAAAATGACGCTTACAAAGCTTACTGGTTTGAATTTTAAAATTTTTGCAGATTTTAAACAAAAGATAGATAATTTAAGAAGCATATGGATTTATATATTGTTGAGGGTTTTTTTTTGTTTGTTTAAGAGCTTTATTAATTTTTTCCACCTTGAGGAGAAAAAAAAGAAAAAAATATGCCAAGGACATATGGGCTGCCAAGTGGGTTAGATTCTCTATATGGTCTTTTTCAGAAAAGGAGAGGAGGGCACAATCCCATTCAGTAATGGAGACACGGTAAGTATAAAACATTGAATGTTCTTTCAAGCCCCAAGTGTCAAGACAGAAAAGGAACATCAACTGGTCACTCAATGGGGCCAGAAAGAGAAGATGCAACACAAATGGTACCCCGACTTTTAGGTATCCAGATGGCAATGCTAATAATCTCTAGAAATAAAAGATTTACAAAGATTTCTTAAGAATTCAAACTGGAACCAGCAGATGGCGTAATGGTTACATTGCTGGACTCCATGTAGTCAACCATGGTTCAAATCCTGAACCTGGTGGCTTAAAACTCACACCGGACGTATGTGCATGCGTGCTCAAGATCCCAAGAGGAGATCGGAGGAGAAGGGATTGTGGCATGGTCATTCCCCTGGGGAGGTGATTTCTTGCTTTCTGTCTGTCTCTCTTTGTGTCTCCGGAAAGCATACACGTTCTATAGCAAAAATCTCTCTCAAAAAACAAACAAACAAACAAAACTAACACTAGTACCCCCTGGTCCCTAGTCACTTGCTACTCCTCTATCCTGCTCTGTATTTCTTTAAAACGTTATTTGCTACCTGATATTATGTGGTGATTTATTTCTTGCCTGTGTTCTTCCATGAGGCCAGACTTTGTTCATGTTTGTTTCCAGCATCTAGAGCGGCACTTGTACACTGAAGGAGCTCTAGAAATATCTGAATGAATAAATGAATGAAAGACAAAAAAAGGAAGAGCCAGACTCTGCAAATGGGTTTCCAAACAGCGTGAAACAGCTGCAGAGGCGATCCATCGATTGCCTTCGTAACTCAGATTCAAATGTCTGGACAAGTTTCAAGTAATCTAACAGATTCATCCATTCAACAATTATTTATTAAATATCTACCAAGTACAAAGTACCAAGTCAGATAGTTTGGGAATGAAGAGTCTAATCCCTGACCCCTCCATCTGTGTAATACTGTGAGGATGATGTGAGAAACATTTATAAAAAGCAATGTAGTGGACCAGCAGTTGGCATAATGGCTATGTCGCTGGACTCTCATGTAGTCAACCATGGTTCGAGTCCCAGACCCGGTGGCTTAAACTCATGTCAGGCGTGTGTGCATATGTGCCCAAGATCCTCAGAGGAAAATGGAAGAGAAGGGATTGTGGTGTGGCCACCCCCCTGGGGGGTGATTTTTCACTTTCTGTCTCTCTCTCTCTGTCTTTTTGGTGAGCACATGTGCCCTATAGCAAAAACCTCTCAAAAATAAATAAGTAAGTAAGTAAATAAAAAAGCAATGTAGGGAAGGAGGAAGGGTGGAGGGAGGTACCTGGGTCCAGCACTGCTCCTTCAACAGTAATGATACAGAACAATTTGATCAGATCTCCCCGGATGACTGACGGTGTGTCCGAATGCACAGAGGCATTAAATATGGGACCTGGAAGAAAGTGACACCAGCCTCATTATTCTGTTTCACACTTTTGTCAAATCCTTTCTTGATGTTCTAACAGGCATCTAAATGTGGTTTCCTTTCCTGGGAACTGGTCTAGAAATTCACACAATAGGTGTCCTAAGGTTGCCTTTCTTTTATTCAGAGATCTACCTGCATTAGGCACATCTAAATAAGCTCTGTCTTAAGATTACAACCAAAATGGAATTCTTCCAAGAGTTTCCTGTGAGCTGACTTTTCTTTTTCCTCTTCTTTGGTGACAACCATGGTTTCGTTCAAAGGCCACCTCCATCTGCCACCCTGGAATAGCACAGGTTGTTTCTGGTTCAGTGTGGGTTCAATTGTTTAACAGGGTGGCTTGAAGATCACAGGGTGAGGTCTGAACCAGTGATGCTTTTGGTCCCAACAGGTGAGTGGCTTCAATGTACTGTGATGGGTGCTAGGGATGGGGGGTCGCCTGCTTTTAAGAGGCTGCAATCCAATCAGGAGTCAGACATGCCAACAATGATGATGTTAATATGAAGTACGATGGGAGTACAATATACAGGTCGCCTCATTTCCCCAGGCAGGCAGGACACGTACTCTTGTCCGCCAGGGGAAATTGAGGCGACCTGGACATTCCTTCCAAAGATTAACCAAGTGGGGTAGGTTATATATGTCTGTGTGTTGAGTGGGGGATGCTAGAGGTATACAGTAACTCTGTACTTTCTGTTCAATTTTGTGTGAACCTAAGACTGCTCTAAAAACTAAAGTCTAGTAAAAAATAAACAAAATACCACTCCTAGGCAGTATTTGTCATGCAAACCTTCCTGGACACACTGCAGGCATAATTGTTTTTAAACCATCTGTGAAACCCTCTTAGTGAGAATGTTTTATAGTTTTAAACCAAGCTAATCCTAAGAGTTCAGTGCTTATTTTATCCCCACTCCTAAAGTCTATGAAAAGGCAAACCTGAAAGCAGGTTCCAGAACATCAATACTATGGGATTCCCTAGAAAGCAAAGATAGATGACCTTGAACATTAATTTTAAATCACATTAGAAGCTGAAAATACAGGTGTTACAACTTTTTTGTTCAGATTACCAGAAAGGAAAATTACCCTAAAGTATTTTTTAAAAAAACTTCTAATGGCTGGCATAGTGGTTATGGGAGCCAGATCCCATAGAGCCAACAGCAGTTCGAATCCTAGCCTCAGTGCTTGAAAAACATGCCAGGTGTGTGTGTGTGAGTGTGTATGTGTGTGTGTGTGTGTGTGTGTGTGTGTGTGTGCATGTGTGTGTGCATGTCCCAAATCCCAACAGGATAGAGAAATGGAAAAGGGACTGTGGTGTGGACACATCCCTCTGGGGATGCCTTTTCTCTTCCTCCCTCCATCCCTCCCTGTCTAGTGAGCACATACATCCTCTGACAATTAAAATCAAACCAGAGCAAACCAAACAAAAAGACTTTAAAAAAAATGACCATAAGAAAATAACATATTATGTCACCCAATGAGGCAATTAATTGAAATGGCTCTGTTTTGACCAATAAGATAAATTCATCAGGTTGCTTTCATAACACCGAGTGCATGAGTGATTTGTGTTTTCCTGGGAGAAAAGTGAAGGATCGTTGTAGAATATGGAATCCTATGAGGGTCAAGCAGCCCTGGGCGGCAACTATTGAGAGTTCTGATTAGCCAGACAGCAGCCAAGAGGGAATCTTCTGTAGGAGGATGGTGAACATGACAGGATGGCACTTCCAGAAAACAGGGAGAGGAATGAGAGCAATGAGGACAAGGAAACTTGACCTACTTCTGGACTTCATCTCCTTCAATTAACTCAGCCCTCAGCCTGGCTCCCGCAGGTCCTGACCGCCCTGGACTCGTGCTGCCTGTAGCAGGCAGAGGGACAGGATCAGATTGATTGCTCTGAGCTGACTCTGTGGTGATGACGGGGAGTGCTCTGTGCTGTATGTAAGTGAGGACAGGTTAGCAGTGAGTGAGTGCAGGTCAGTAGTGACCATTGGAAGCAATGGGAACCTCATATTCTAAGATCAGAAATTTCACTGTAATAAACGGAGCTATATTAAGGGCCTTTCTAACAGTGTTTAGATTTACATTTCTATTTACTGAATTTTAAACAGCAAAGGAAGACTTACTAATTCGGACAAATTTCACTTTTTCTTTGTATTTCCAAAGAAAACCCCAAATGGCTTCTGGGTTACAAGTACAGTTCTCATTTCCCCTGCTGGTTGTGGCTATGAGAATCAAACAGCATTTCTAGTCTGGCTCACAACACAGACGGGACCGGGGAAAAGGCCTTCATTGTAGTGAGCAAGTCACAGTAGTAGATTTCCTTCTAATGAAATCAACAGCTCACTGTTAATATGGGTCATTATCCCAGGCTTAGAAATATTTTCATTATGGTCAATTTCTGTGGTAATGCTGTTTTTGTGAGGGGATTTGTCTGGTTAACTTCACAGATGACAGACCGTGGCACAGAGAATTTAAGTGAACAACTGGAGTCACTAGGGGTCCCCTGATTCATAGTCTGCAGAGAATACAGGAACCACTTAGCTTTTAAATATAAATGCTGAAACACACCATATTCCAACCTCAGCCCCTAAAACAGGGCTGTTAATAGCAGTGTTTTGGTGAAAGCAAAAACTGCAGACCATGTGCACAACCATCAGTAGGGCAATGGTTCTGCAAACTCTTGTCTGTGTATGCATTACCATTGGTATTTACCAAGGGCTGTTGTATCATGGAAAATACTTATAACATTAAGGGGGGAGGGGAAAGATTATAAAATTGTATATACAGCCTGATTGTGAAGTTATGAAGGAAATATACAAAGAAAAAATTCTAGGAAAATGAACAACGCAAATTAGCAGGATTATGGGTAATTGGTATTTGGTTTTCTTCCCTTCTTTCTGCTTTACTCTATTTTCAGATTTTCTATATTCAGGAGAAAAGATTGTATTATTCTTCTCCTAGAAGGTCAAAAGCCACACCATCACATTCAAATCCTATTTCTCCTTTGCCACTTTGAGTCACTAAAAGCCAAGACTCAAGGATCAGAGCAGTGGGCCCTGAAAGGACCTCTTGTGTCTGTTTTAAGGTGTGTGGCTGATTTTAGCAAGTGAAGGATTTCAGTGCCAAATTAATGCTTGCTGGAGGCTACTGCTTTATACAGAGTCCTGAATCTAATGGCCACTTTTCCTAATTAATGTGAACTGGCCATGACATCTCTATGGATTAAATAAAATCAAACCTTAGGCAGTCTATTCAACTGGGAAGGTACAACAATTTTATCTGCTATGCCAAAACGTAAAGAATTGAAAAGTAGATTTAATACTTGTTCCTAACCCAGAAATACATACAAAAGATTTTATGCCAGGGATCGGCAGTTGGCATAATGGCTATGTCACTGGACTCCCATATAGTCAACCGCAGTTCAAGTCCCAGACCTGGTGGCTTAAACTCATGATGGGCGGATGTGTGTGCGTGCCCAAGATCCTGAGAGGAGAATGGAGGAGAAGGGATTGCAGTGTAGCCATCCCTTCGGGGGTGATTTCTCACTTTCTGTCTCTGTCTCTCTCTGTCTTTCTGGTGAGTGCACATGCCCTATAACAAAAACCTCTCAAAAAAAAAAAAAAAAAAAAAAGAGAGAGAGAGATTTTATGTCTCTCATCTTTCACATAACAGTTTTTTTAAAAAAATCAAATAACAAATGTAAAACAAGGTGGATTTGACTCCTACAGATAGTAAAATAGATACACAGATAAAGAACAAAAACCACAAAATCATCTCATTTTAACAAACACAGAAAAAGCATTTGACAACACTAACACCTTTCTATGATAAAACACTCAACAAACTAGGAAAAGAAGGAAACTTACTCAACCCAATAAAGGACATCTATGAAAAGCCCACAGCTAACATGACAGTGATGAAAGACTGAAAGCTTTCCACCTAAGATCAGTAACAAGACAAGGACGGTCACTTGTGCTACTTCTATTGAACCCTATACCGGGTTCTAACCAGGGCAACTAGACAGGAAAATGAAATAGAAGGTGTTCATTTTGGAAATTAGAGAAGTAAAACTACTGCTATTCATAAAAGACATGACCTTATATTTTAAAAATTATACAGAATTCATAAAAATCTACTAGAACTAGTAAATATTTTCAGCAAAGTTGTAGAAGAACAATTATGAGGAGGCATCTAAAAGCTTGTGGAATAACTGAATTAACACACAAGTTTACTTTGGTGCAAAACATTTTTGAAATCCACACACAGCTTTTTTCAGAATATGCATATTACACAAACTTTTTGAGGACTTGTATACAAAAATAAGTTGTGTTTTTATACGACCACAGTAAGTAAACTGAAAAGTAAATTAAGAAAGCAATTCCATTTACAATAACATCAAAGAGACTAAAATACCTAGGACAAATATAACAAAAGAAGGTTAACATTTGTATACTGAAAACTATAAAACATCACTGAAAGAAATAAAGGAAGACCTAAATAAATGGAAAGACTTCCCATGTTTATAGGTGAGAAGATAAAGTTTATTAAATGGCAATGCTCTCCAAATTGATGTATGGATTTAACAAAAGACCTATTAAAGCTCCAGGTGTCTTTTTTTTTTTTCTCTTTTTTTTTTAGAAATTGACAGATTGATCTTTTAAAGTCATGAGAAATGCAATGGACCCAGGTTAGCCAAAACAACCTTAAAAGAGAAGAAGGTTAAAAGACTCATACTTGATTTCAAAACAAATGAGAAAGCTTTAGTAGTCAAAGAATATAACACTGGTGTAAGCACAGAAATACAGATGACTGGAGTAGAATGGAAAGTCCGGAAGTAAATCTTTATTGTTAAGATTTCTGAAAAGGGTGCCAAGACAAGAAAACAGAGGAAAGAACAGACTTTTCAACTAACGATGCCAAGACAAATGAATAGACCCATGCAAAATAATAAAACTAGATTCCTTCTTCAATCCACTAAAACCCTGGTAAATTAACTAAAAATGGATCCTAGCTATAAATCTAAGAGCTAAAACTACAAAGCCCTTAGAGGAAAATTTAGGCATAAATGTTCATGGCCTTGGGTAGGTAATGATTTCTTAGATATGACACCAAATATGCAAGTAACAAAAGGAAAAAACAGAGAAGAGGCCAGACAGTGGTACAGCAGTAAAATGTGATGCTCTTGAAGTCGTGCCCATATAGGACGGTTCCTAGTTCAAGTCTGCAGACCTTTCTGAGTATGCAAGACACGTGTGTGCCCATGATTCAGGGCTGGTTGAAGCTGGGGTGGATCATGGCATCAGAATCTTGTTGGGGGTGCTGTTTCTTTCTGTCTCTTTTGCTCATGGAAGAAATGAGTAAAACAAACAAAAAAACCCCACAAAAACAAACAGATAAATTGGGCTTTATCACAAAAACTTTGGGGCTTTGGGCTGGCTCTGTGGCCTGGTGGTTAAGACAGCTGAATTCCACATGGTTTACCTTACAGTTTGAATCTTGGACCCAGTGGCTTGAGAGATAGAGAGAGATGAGAACTATGCCAGACAGCATGATTTTCAAGCCACTGGGTCCGGACTAGAACTGCATACATGCCCAAAATCCCAAAAGGAAGGAGAGATGGAGTAGAAGGGATTTGGACGTGACATTCCCCACCAGGGGTGCTTTCTCTTCTCCCTCTCTATCTCTCTACCATGTGTACATGTGCCCTCTAGCTAAAAAAAATAAACAAACAAAAAAGGCTGGTGCGTCATGAGATAGCATTGAGAAAGAGAAGGAAAAAAAAAAAAAAAAACTACCCAGAGAATGAGAGAAGATATTTTGAAATATTGTTTATGGCAGCATTATTAATAGTAAATAAGTGGAAATAATTTAAATGTTCATCAACAGATGCCGGGATAAACAAATGTAGTACATCCATCCACATAAGGAGACATTATTCGGCCACAAAAAGGAATGAAGTACTGATAATCTTATAATACGGCTGGACCTTAGAAACATTATGCTAAGGGAAAGAAACCAGTGAAAAAGAGTCCACATAGTGCACGGTTCAATTCATATGAAATGCCTAGAAGAGACAAATCTCTAGAGATAAAAAAGTAGAGTAGTGGCTATCAGGGGCAGATGGGAGTGACTGCCACTGGAAACAGGGTTTCCTTTGGGCATGGTTAAATCTTCCTGGAATTACGCAGTAGTGATGACTCAAACTCTGTACCTATAAAAACCGAAAGCATTGCTTGTATACTTTGAAAGGGTGAATGTTGTGGTATGTGAACTATACCTCAATAAAGCTGTTATTAAAAACAAATGGTCTGGGGGCCAGTAAGTGGCATGATGGCCCACACGACCAGCCATGGTTCAAGTCCTGGGCATAGTACCTTGAAGACCATGCTGGGCACGTGTGTGGGCATGTCCAAAATCCAAAGAGGAGAACAGAGGAGATGGGAATGTGGCATGGCCAGCTCCCCCGGGGGTTCATTTTTTTACCTTCCCTCTCATTGTCGCTGGCTCTCTGGCAAGCGCATGTGCCCTGTGGCAAAAACCTTAAAAAAAAAAAAAGAATCAAAAAACAAAAATAGGCTGGACAGTTGTGTAGTAATAATAAAAAAAATGCAGTTCTCTGCAAGTCTGACCCATATGTTAAGTTCCAAGTTTGCATCTGGAGATCCCCTGATACACTGGGCACTTGCATGCCTATGACCTGGGGCTGGCTGAAGCTGGCAGAGGGGGACAGTCACAGAGTTGCGTCCCTGTTGGAGTACCTCTCCCTTTGTCTCTCTCACTGAAGGAATAAATAAACTTCAAAAATTATTTAAAGCCCAAACAAATAAATACACAGTTAAAAAACAAACAAACAAAAAAGCCTATGCTTTCCCTGCTGTTTCCAAATCTAAGATCTTAAATCAGTATTTTCCCTTTATTAATTTTAAAGGTTAAGAGATGCTGTGAATTATTTCACCATAAACCATAATAGGTTATACTACAAGTTAATATTAATAGAAAACAAACTTCTGAGTCTAGCTTACCTTTAATATAAATGCTAATAATTGAATTCAACAAATATCTTGCATTCATTAATTAATGCCTCAATTTACTTATTTATTTATGTATTTATTTATTTATTTATTTTGGAGTGGTTTTTGCTATAGGGCGTGTGCGCTTGCCAGAAAGACAGAGAGAGACAGAAAGTGAGAAATCACCCCCCAGGGTGGATGGCCACGTGGCAATCCCTTCTCCTCCATTCTCCTCTCAGGATCTTGGGCACACACGCACCTGTGCCCGGTGTGAGTTCAAGCTACCAGGTCCAGTACTCGAACCACGGTTGATTACATGGGAGTCCAGTAACATAGTCACTACGCTGCTATTCCTCCTCAATTTATTTTTTAAGAGGCTTTTGCCTTAGGGTGTATGCACTGGCCAGAGAGAGAGAAAGAGATGGTAGAGGGAAAGTGAGAAATCACCCTCGGGGGGAATGGCTATGCCGCAATGCCTTGTCTTCCTGGAATCTTAGGCACACGCATGCACGTGCTTATAGCATGATTTTCAAGCCACTGGGTCCGGACTCAAACCACAATCAGCCATTTGGGAGGGAGTCCAGAGACATAACTGCTATGCCCTCTGCTGGCCCCAATGACTTGATTTTTACAGACGAGTATAAGTTTATACATTCAGAGATTTCTAACTGAAACCCAAGGCAGTGTTAGTGAAAGCATTTAGCCTTAAACTCACATATAATAATCCTTAACACTGATACTCTAAATAAATTTGGAAATAAAAATTTGTGTTGTTTTTTAATTGTCAGAGGGTACATGCAGTTACCAGGGGGGAGACAGACAGAGAGAGAGAAAGAGAGAGAGAGAGAGAGAGAGAGAGAGAGAGAGAGCATCTTTCAATGGGGTGTGGTCATGCTGTAATCCTTTTTACCTCTAATTCTCCATTCCATCAAGATTTGGGGCACACACATGCCTGGTGTGTTTTTCAAGCCCCCAGGGCCACAATTCAAACTGTGGTTAGTCACGAGGGATCTGGCTCCCTATACACAGTGCTTAACCTCTGTGCTATGGAACTGGCCCTAGGGATTAAAAACTTTTAAACCAGGGCCAAACCTGTAGCACAGTGGTCAGGCTTTGTGCAGATAAAATAGAATCCTACATGGTTGACAGGAGCCGGAGTCCCATCCCCACTCTCTAGAAAAATGTGCTGAGCATCCACTTCCATGCCCGGGATCGCAAAGGGATAGAGGACTGAGGTGAAAAGGACTGTGGTGTAATAGGCTCTGTTAAGGGGTGCTTTTTCTCCCCCCCTCTCTTCTCTGCTCTCCTCTTTCTCTTTTGCATGCACCATCCACATTAAAAAAATTAAAAAAGAAAAATAACCTTTAAAATCATCTCTCTGCTAAAACAATACACACACACACACACACACACACACACACACAGATCTCTGAGAATCCTAACAAATTACACAGATATATAAGACAGCTCTACTTGAGAATACCTCCTCTGTATCTATGCCATTAAAAAAGTGGACTTATGCATGACATTCTACTTACCAAAGACAAAATCATTTCAGAATAGATATAAAAAGTCCTTGTTTTAATTAACATTTCCACCACTAATAGAGCAACTATTCTTAACAAATCAGTTTGACAAATATTATATATTCACCCATACCATAGCAGCGCTGATGAATTGATTAATTTATGGGAAATCTTTTTTCTAGTCCAAAAGCAAGGTGAGGAATAGGCTGGAATAAATTCATTCGCTGTAGGGCAACTCTGCTCTGGTTAGCTGGGCCAAGAATAGTATTGGGTTGTCAGAAAAATCATGACACATTTTTGCATAGAAAAATACATCACAACTTTTCCGACAACCCAACGGTTACCAGTGACACAAAGGCCACAAATTACATTCCATTTATGAGGTCATTGGGAAAAATCATGTATTTTTCTTCATTTTTTTATATGAAAATGCATGACTTTCCCGATAACCCGACATATGGAATGTCAAGAAAAGGCAAATCTGTAGAGCCAGAAAGTAGGTTAGTGCTGTCAGAGAATGAAAGACAGACGGGAGGGGGATGCAGGGTGTTGGTGAAAGGGTTCGGGGACTTTTTGGATGAAAATGTGGTAGAGCTGACTGTGGTGATGGTCATGCAATCCTGTGAATACACGAAAAGCCACTGAATTATGCACTTTAAACAGGTAAATTATATGGGATGTGAAGTATATCTCAGTAAGGCATTTTTTCAAAATGAGGGTACTCAATCAAAACCCCAGAGTCTTTTGTAGTTCAATCTGTGATTCAATAGGGTTCCTCTGCTCACCTGAGGTTTGGAAGTCTATCTCAATGGGATTGGAGAGACTGGTTGCTGCTTCTCGCCACAGGCTGCCCCCGACAGGAGACCAGGCTGTTACCATGCAGCGGTAGAGCCCTGCATCTGAGACCTGAGTCTGGTACATTCGATAGCGAAATTCATCCTCCTGCACTTTCTCTAACACAACGCCATCCACCCGCGAAGCATCTGTCCAGTTCTCCAGCTTCACCACAGAATCCTGGTCCAGGGAGATGATGTACTTGGTTTCGTTGGGACTGGAGAGGTCCCCGACAGGCTTTTCAGCTGTGATGAGAACGGAGTAGCGTGGCGACTTTATATTCTTGGAAGACACTTTGCATGTCATCTCAAACGTGTTTCCTGCAGCAAAAAAGGGCTTTGGCTGCCTTGCCTTCACCACGAGCACGGAATCTGGAATGAAGCAGCAGGAAGAGGTGACTGCCAACAGGATCAGTTAAAATGGAGATGCATCTAAAAGCTCATGTCAAGAAAATAAGAATTTACTTGGAAATTGCCATATAATAACACTTAAGAAAATCTGGAAATTCAGAAAGAAAATCACGTGTATCTGTAAGCAGGCTGGAAGCCACCACACCGAGAGAAGCAGTCTCATGATTTAATGGGTGTGAGGGGAAAAGGAACTTACAGTGAGGATTTGGTTTTAAAGATTTGCGAGGCCTTCACCAATTCTCTTGGTGAAGTGACTGGGAGCTCGGCTGAGGGTGTAGGCCAAACAGAGCTCATGGTAAGTGAGCTGGGTAAGACATGGTTGGAGAGGCCACTCAGGCCAGGCTCCTGGCCATTCCTTTTGCCTCTTGGCCCCTGAGCGTTGGCTCCGTGCAAAGAAAGTACCTCTACCTAAGCTAGCCTGCTTGGAGGAGCAGAGAAGGGAGACGGGGACTCTCTAATCATGTGATGGCAGCATTACAACAGATCGATTACAAAAATGACTGGAGTATACGCATCTGTACATTTCATTATTTCCACTTGGTTTACACTTTAATTTTAGAGATGCTGTTTTAACATTTTGAGCAAGTGTCTATAGACACACTAACTTTAAGTTAAATGTGTTGCTCTCCGCTTCTCTGTCAAAACAAAATTCCTAAGCATATGTATATTAGGATTCATCTACTGTACAGCACAATGCCAGGCACTGGGAATGTACTTACACACTTGTGGAAAGGATGCACAAATAAGTTAGACACACTCCTTTTATGCCCTTTTTTATTTTTAAAGGCAGGGCCTCCCTGTGGTTGATCCTCCTACTTCAGCCTCCCTTCAGGGACCAGAGGCAAGTGCTGACGCACCTGCTCTTTTGCAGGCAAGGCCTTGCTATGCTACCCAGGCCAGCCTTGAGCTCATGATCCTTCTGCCTCAGCCTCCCAAGTGGTTGGGATTACCGGTACAGACCACCATGCCAGGCCTCTAGGTTGGCCCAAGAATCAAATGTGGGCCCCCCATGTAGTCCCAGCCTATAAAGCACAGTGTCTTAGCAGCACAAACTACCATGACCGGGCCCCCTTTTTATCCTTTCATAAGATGATTAATTCTCTAATCTGTTTAGCTATAAAATGAGATTTTCATGTTGGGTTTTTGGAACCCAAGCCTATTAGCAGAACAGACATGCTACACTGTCTCTCCAGAACCACTGATTTCTGAGATTCTCTTGAGCCACCCCATTCTACCTCCATTCTCCTGTGAGTTGGCTCTCTATTCACTCATGAAACAAAGTGAAAGCCTTCCATACTCCACATGTGGGGAATACAGTAGTGAGTGACACAGAAATCCCTCCCTTTACATGCTAGTGAGGAAGACAGACAAAACAACTGGAGCCTGAGGAGCTGCTCCTGGAGTCTAAACTCAAAAGAAACACCACCGCCCCAGCCCCACACACCCCCACCAGAGTTCCAGGGCTTTGGCCTGGCTCAGGAACCTCTGGCAGTCAGCAGGAAGAGGAGCCAGGACTGGTTCAGAGTGACCCAGAGGATATCATCATTGAAGACCTCGAACTAGAAGCATTCAAAGTTCAAGTCAGGTAGATGGAGGAAGAACCCGAGAAGCTAAAGCATCTACACCATGAGGTAGAGAAGCAGATGAATATGAGCCCAGCTCCACACAATGCTACCCAGGGGCCACGTCTGCTGTGGAGGAGATGGAAGCTGCTCCGGCTCCATCTGTGTTGTATTAGTAGGATTATGGAGCAGCCACAGAGGAGCCTGAAACTCACTTTCACAGCTATGGTTCAGTCAGTCATGTTACTATGAGAAATTCAGTGCTTCTCTGTGAGAAATGCAGTGTCCATACCAAAGGATTTGCATATCTGGAGTTCTCACAGAGTCAGTGAGGTCCAAGCGAGTGAGATGTCAAAGACCTGAGAGAGGGGAGCCATGTGCCTGAGTAGTGAGGGGCTGGCCTCTGCTGGGACATAAGGCTGACCGATACTCAGCCACTGGGGTAGAAGGTATGGGAATTCTCCTCTGACTGGTTTCTTAGGGAAATAGGAAGCAGGACCAACAGCTGAGGGACAGGTGGGGGAGGAGAGGGTTGTGTACTAATCTGGGAGAGTGGGAAGTAAACAAAGGAAATGCGCAACGACTCCTGGGTAGTGTTGGAGCCCACTTGACATAAGTGATTAAAAGTAGGACCAGGGAACATGTTTCAATGTTTTTCTCCCAACATATGAGGATCTGCAAACACAGGCAGGGAGGCGGCAGAGCGCTGGCTTCGAACTGGTTGTGGTTTGGCTAGAGAATAATGCAAACCGAGAGGGGGCAAGAGTGTGAAGGGTGTAGTACACCAGGGCATGACTCTGACTGACTGGGAACTTAGGCTACCTAACGGGAGGTGACTGCAGAGCTGATCCCCACTCTGAGTAAAGAGGGTGCTATGCCAATCACGCCAGGACAGCAGGTATAAACTGAGCAATGGTCACACTACAAAAGAGTGAAGAAGGTGCACCGGGAATGAAGGACAACGCAAGGCTGTCAGTCCTGGCAGGATTGTTGCTGAGTGATCTAGAAAGACACAAGATAGGTTTAGAGAACAGGATGCTTGAAATGGAGACTATGGAGGGGTTTCAGTTATCAGAAGTGAGACGGCTTAATGTAGAGAATACGTGTGGGAGTGAAAGACCACAAGACAGAGGAAGTGTCAGCTAGAGAGGAAGGAGGGACTGAGAGTGAGCAGATTCTCTGTACTGGGGTCTCAACCTTGGGTGTACCTGAGAATCACCCTGGGAGCTCTGAGAAGTGCTCTTGGCCAGCCTGCATGTATGTCAGACCAATTAAAACAGAATTTCTGCTGGGACTCATGGATCAGTATTTTTCTTTTTTTAAGCTTCTAAGGTAATTCTGATTGTGACCTAATGCTCTCCATGGATGCTGAAGTTAGCAAGAGAGAAGTATTAGAGACAGTGGTCATGAAATGAAGGTTAATGCCTTCAAAGAACGGTCAGAGGGCCCAGGAGTCAAGAGACACTGGCAATGCGCAGAGGTGGCTGTGGTCTGATGGCATGAGGTTCGAAGCTGGATATTTTTAGGAGTGAAGGAAATGGTCTAGAAGTTGCAGTGAGGAACAAAAAGGGCACCCACCCCACCTCTAGGCCCAGTTATATGAGGAGTGCAAGAAGAAAATGCCACCACTTCAGAGGGGAAAGTGTCCTCAGAGAGTAAGCCTGGGAATGTTTAATACAAGAAAGAGAAAGGGACATTCAGACATGAGGTTTGGGAAACAGGTGATTTTGCTGACGACACTCTTTGGGTCCTGAGGTGGGTATAGAAGGGGTGGTAGGGAGTTCAAAGAGGGTGCAGAGGGTCATACGTGAGTAATGTCCAGGGCACAGATCTCTGGCCTAAGTGGTGACCTGCGGGGTGATCTTGAATCCGAAACCACATGGTGAGATAACTTCAGCAAACACAAAACAAAACAACACAGGATGATAAACGAGAATCAAGCTCCTACCCTCTGATGCCCAAAATATGTTGGCAGGTTTGGAGAAGACGTCTTTGCTCTTCACCCAGCTGTTGTTCCGCTGTTTGGTCCAGGCAGACACCACACAGTAGTAACTGCCTCTGTCGTCCTCTGTAGTCCTTTGGATCCGGAAATTAAACGTGTCTGTATGCTCCTTAGAGAAAATAAACTCTCCATCCTGGGCCCGTTTCTTGCTCCTCTCTCCATATTTCAGTGTCCAGTCCCCATCCATGACTGCAAGCAGCTCGCTGGTCACCACATCGTCACTGCGCCGGTTCATTCTGTAGTACCACGAGACCGTAAAGCGGACACTCGCCTCCCCACTCTTCGTGTCCACTACCCGGCATTCCAGTTCTGTGGGGTCATCGGCAAACCCAGGGACCTTAGAGGCATTCAGGTACACCTGATAGTCTGGTTCTGAATGTGAGAGAGAGAGAGGGCCAGGATTTAAAAAAAAAGAAAAAATTAGAGTGACATACCAAGAATTAGCAAGAGGACAAGCACTGCTTTTGTTCTGACAATGAAATGCCTATCTTACAACTGCAGAGATGGAAATCAAGTCTTTGCATTGGATAGGAAGGATTCAGTATATGAGTGTTCTTGTAAAACGCTGCCACCCATATCCCTCCCAAGAAAACCGTCTAAGGTAGAAACCAAATGGCCAAAGGTAGAAACCACGATCAGTCCTGATCTTTCTGAAGAGCTGCTGTCTGCTATCAGTTTCCCCAGGAGTTAGAGTTTTTTGAGAAGGTGAGATTATGAAGCCTCTGTGTCCACGCCCTACCGAGAGTGTCTCTGGAATGTCAAGAAAGCATGCAGACCTCCAAGTCCCAATGGAGCAGTACTGGAAATCTTTGTGCTGGAGGACATTCCAGGACTCGAGATCTATCAATCTCCCCATGACTTGGGTTCCTGCCATCCTTGGTCATGCCCAAATGCAAGGCCCTTGAGTCATGTCTCTTACCATTCCTTGCACTTTTTCACTCAATCTGTGTTCAGCGAAACCTCCCAACCCCAAACTCCCCAAAGGACGTTCTTCTCACTGTCACATACCTCACCTGTACAGTTCTGCTGGCCTTGAAGCTTTCTGATTGCAAACCCACCCTACTCACACCTGCCCACTTGTGACTAGCCCATTTCCTGCTCAGCCAGGCACACATTCTGACAGGATGTGGGGCGAAATCTAGTGTTTTCCTAGCCTAGAGACCTCCTCTGCCTCTGTCACAGCCTTGTTCTTTTTCACTTGTCTAAAAAATTGTTTTCTCCAGGGGCCAACAGATGGTGTAGCAAGTTACATCGCTGGACTCCCACAGGGCCAACTGCAGTTCAAGGCCCGGACTTGGTGGCTTGAAACTCATGCCAGGTACATGTGTGTTTGTTTCCAAGGTCCTGGGAGAATGGAGAAGAAGGTATTGTGCCATGGCCATCCCCCATGGGGAGTGATTTCTCACTTTCCCTCTCACTGTCTCTGTCTCTCTATTTCTGGAGAGTACACATGCCCTAAGGCAAAAACCTCTTTTAAAAAGAAAAAAATTGTTTTCTCTTTCCTCTGAGATTTTTTTACATCAGTTTAATTTATTCCCATACCTCTGCATTTTTTGTCCTCACTGGACCAAGTCTTCCTTCACACTGTTCAGGGGAAGAATGTGGAAGTCCCTCTGTAGCCTCTTTTCCTCTCTGCACTGGACCCCTCTGTGTTACACCTCATTCCCTGAAGTTCTCTAGTCCACAGTGGTGTAAGACTGTGGTGACCGTTTTGGGATGCCCTGCAAACTTCCTCTCAGTCTCTCACGTTACCTGGGTCTCAGATACCCAGAGCTGACACTCCTTCTCTGTGCTCCATAAGCAGTCTATGTACTCTGGTATACCAGTTATCTGTTCCACGACCACCCATCCCTGAGGGTCTTATCCCCAAGTACACTGCCTTGCATGCAGTAAGCACTCAATAAATGTTTGCTGCCTTCATTTAGGGTTTTTCATAAAGGCTACAGTGTTCTTCTGTAGCACTTTGCCTCCAGGGAGAAAAATAATGCTACTTAAACAGAGCTTCCTGTTTGCAAGTACTATCTTTATTTGCATCACCTTGATCAAACAGTTGAGTTTTACTTAACATTGCTTTTATTTATGACTCATTCAGATTATAAACTGCTGAGGCAAAGGAACAGTTCTTTGGTGATTTATATTTCTAATAAAATTTATAACATCATGACTTCTCCAAGAATGATTCAGTGGGCCAGGAAATGGAAAGGACTCAAAATCCTAATTCCCTCAAATGTCATCTTCACAAGCGTTTAATTGCAAGTGAGGTTGGACTCGGTGCTGTAGAAAGTTAAACCAGCGTGGCCCTGGCCTGCCCATAGGAGCACACCCTACTATGATGTATGTGTTGCAGAGACCTGAGTGGCCATCCTGCCTCCTCATTTTATAGGCAAGTGTGCTGAGGTTCCCTGCTGGGTAATGCGCTGCCCCCGGGACAGAGTGCTAACACCTCCCAGGCCTCCCTCACAACACCTGACTGGAAATCCCTCTGTAGCCTCTTTTCTTCTCTGCACTGGACACCTCTGTGTTACACCTCAGTGGCCTGGACAAAGGCCAATGAAATGTACCTGTACCATCACACACACTGAAATGTACCTGTACCATCACACACTGAAATGTACCTGTACCATCACACACACTGAAAGGTACCTATGCCATCACACACACTGAAATGTACCTGTACCATCACACACTGAAAGGTACCTGTACCATCACACACACTGAAATGTATCTGTACCATCACACACACTGAAAGGTACCTGTACCATTACACACAGAAATGTACCTGTAAAAAGAGGGGTAACAACAGTAACCAGCTTCTAATTAATTGTTACTGTAAGGACTGAGACATACATAAAAGTGCTTAGGCTGTTGTCTGGCATACACATATGCGTACACACACATACACGTCTGACTTACTATTTGTGGTTCCCATTTCAGATATGACAAGGTGGAGCTTTAAAGAGGTTAACGAGTTGCCCACACAGGTAAATGTACCAGATACAAACCCACCTTCCAAATGTATCCTCATCTCTCACATAAAACAACTTTGTGTCTTCTAAGTACCCGTGACCGACATACTGTCTGTTAGGAGAACCAAATGCCATGCTGTCAATGCCATGCTGAGTGACCGTCGTAGAGAACCTGACCCAGGAGGTCGGCTCCTTTGGACCATCCCCTCAGCCTCACGGTGCCGTACTGACAATGCCATGATGCCACCTATAGCCCTTCTCTTCTGTCTCTAACACACTATGCACTCTTAAAAAAATTTTTTTAAGGTAACTTATTTCTCCCATGAGAGAGAGAGAGTGAGAGAGAGACAGGCATTCTTCACAGGGTCTAACCATGCTGTGATCCTCCCAGCCCTCCAGCCAGCCAAGATCACCAGCATGCCCCACGTGTGCAGGTGAACCTGGGATCTGAAGAGGTAGTGGACCCCTGTCCTGAGACTAAAGAAAAGAACCATTCTTGACATTGGCCATGGCCAGCAAATAGCAACACGGGCAGGGAAAATGAGTCTGGAGAGCTGGGGCAGGAGAGAGAGACGGTGGGAAGTGACCCAAAGCACAACACTGAGGAGCTAGGTCGGTCATGATGAAAGAGTTGATGTTCATGTAGCATTATGCACAATAGTCAAAATATGGAAGCAATGTAAGTGTCCATCAATGAAAAAATGAATGAAGAAAAAGTCACACACACACACAACGCAGAATATAACGAAGTCAAAGTCACAGGAGTAGAGAGTAGAATGGTAGTTACCAGGGCTGTGAGATGGGAAAGGGTGGATATTGGTCAAAGGGCAAACAATTTCAGTTGGACAAGAAGAATAAGTTCCGGAGATCTGTTGCACAACATGGCAACTCTAGTTAATAACAATGAATTGTGCACTTGAAAACTGCTAAGAAAGTCACTTAAACACCACAAAAAATACTAAGTATGCCAGGTCATAGGCTGATGAGCTTGACTGACTGACTCTACCATACAGGCATAAATCAAAACATTATACTGTACACCATAAATACACATAATCATAATCTGTCCATTTAAAAACTGGTAGAGAAGCCATGAGTTGAGTGACCTGGTAAGTGGTAAGGCCATGGAACACATGGCAGCGGTGGTCCAAACTAGCTCCTGCACCAACCACCAGAAGCGCTGGCCTGGTCACACCCCGCAGCTCACTCACCGGGGTATTAGGCCAGTGGATGCCCTGCGTTGGTCTCAACTTTTCCTTAAGCTCCCAACCCAAACACTAGCAAGGGGCTGAGTTCTTGGCACCCCTGCTGGGTGCTTTCATGGCACCTCTGGATCTCTAGCATGGCACACTCACAGCCTAACTGACCCTGTTCCTCATCTACCCCTGCTAATACATGTGTACACACACACACACACACACACACATACACACAGCCAGCAGCTCCTTCCAACTTTTCAGTGACTGCCTCTGTCACCACTTTCCCACCACTCATTTCCCCGGAACCTCGCCTGGTAAGTACGCATCTCCAACCCTTCCTCCTCTCCACTCTGGGATCTCGGGTCTCACACGTTCTACCTCATGTCTCTCCCATTTATTTCCTTCCCAGGCCTGACACACGGCACGGCAGTCACTCTGCAAGTATTTGTGAATAAAAGTAAAGCCTCATGAACCCTCATCCTGGCTCACAGTGCTTCCAGCCGAGACTACAATATATAAGTTC